ACACACACACACACACACACACACACACACACACACAATCTATTCATTTACTACCTCACAGATTCTGGAGAAATTTGGTGACTTTTTCTATCCAAAAACAACTGTTAAAACACACACGCACACAGACCTTCTACTCTGTTAGAACAGAAAGCCAATTTTTTAAGTTTTATTAGCACTTCATCCACATGTTGTACAAGTCAACGATTCAATCGTATCAAGGAGACTTGTACAATTGTCATCCTATTCAATTCTAGAACATTTTCTTCTTCCTTGTACTCATCATTATTCATGTAATTATTTTTTTCTAATTGTGGCACAAATATACACAACAAAACATTCTCTAATTTTATGATTTCTGCTCGTATAAATCAGTGCAGAAAGCAAATGCCCATGCCCAGCCTGGTAAGCGGTGAAAAGTCTATTTGATCATAATTTCCAGTGGATCAATAATTCCTCGCCTTTTTAAGGAGGGAGGGAGAGGAGGGGAGGGGAGGCTCGGTAGATTTCGCAGAGAATCCACTTAGAGTCACACAAGGACAAATCTTGTAGGCTCCCACTTCCATGACCCGGAGTAGGTAACGAGAGAGGCCAAAGGAAGACTTGTTGCTTAGGGCACACTGAACTGCTCTCTCTCTTTTTAAAAAAACCATTTTACCGGGGGCTCGTACAGCTCTTATCACAATCCATACATACTCCCATTGTGTCGAGCACATTTGTACATTTGTTGCCCTCATCATTCTCAAAACATTTGCTTTCGACTTGACCCTTGGTATCAGCTCATTTGTTTCCCCTCCCTCCCACCCCTCCCTCATGAACCCTTGCTAATTTATAAATTATTATTTTGTCATATCTTGCACTGTCCAACGGCTCCCTTCACCCACTTTTCTGTTGTCCATCCCCCAGGGAGGGGGTTATATGTAGATCATTGTGATCGTGACCTTCCCTTAAGAGTGATGAAAAAAACTTTGGAAATAAATGATGACATAGTGGGCTACATGCTACTCTGCAAACTACAAGGTCAGCAATTTGAAACCACCAGCTGCCCCAGGGATGGAAGATGAGACTTTCTACTCCTGAACAGTTCATCTTGGAAACCCCCAGGGGCCGTTCAAGTTTGTGCTGTAGCGTCACTGTGAGTCAGAATTGACTCAAGGGCAGCGGGTTGGTGTCATGTTAAGTAAAGGAACCCTGGTGACACCGTCGCAAAGCGCTGTGCTGCTAACCGAATGGTGTGCTGTTTGAACCAACCAGCCAACCTGCGGGGGAGAACCTTTAGCAGTCTGCTCCAGTCCAGAGGACGGCCTGGGAAACTCTGGGCAGTTCTCCAGGGTGACTAGAAGGGAGAGTCAAGTGCACTGCAGTGGGTTTTCATTTTTGCGAATGCTGAGCAACATGGTGGAGGTCATGAAAGTTACTAAATTGTCCTTGTAAGAAACTCTTGAAACGGCAACATGTATCTATTACACATACAAAAAAAAACAACCCTATAGACATAAGCACACACACACAATGTAGAATATAATTTCTGAGATCCGTGGAATTCCTAAAACACAACCACAAACCCAGATTAAGAACCCCTGACATGACGGGAAATAAGGGATTGTGTCTTAATCACTTTTTCATCCTGTCTCCCCTGCCCCCAGCAACACTTCAGCGCCTAGACAGATGTATTTTAGATAGTCCGAACTTTATCAAACGAATAAGGAAGGAAAGCCTTCCAATCTCTGAAGCCATTGGAAATGTGTTTTCCGCTTTCATTCTCCGGGAGCGGTCTTAGGCTTCGGTGCCTCTGTCTCTTGTTCTCTGGGCTTCTCTCCCTTTCTCTGTCTCTCTCAGTACCCATAAACCTTCCATAGCATCCCCAGACCATTTTTCTCCTTACAAAGAGAAAGGAAGGAGAGAAGAGAGAACCCAAGTACTTCTCTCCTCACTAGTTTATAAGAAGTTCTTCTGAGCAGGACCAACATAGAGATTTGGGGACACCTCTCTGTTCCTCCTCTCTTCCCACAGCCCAGTGCCTCCCAGCAGCCCCCACCAAAGCTGAGAGGTCAGGACTCGGCCCCCCATTCGTCCAGGGACATCATCAAATGTATTTATGTTCCACTCATGTGACAAATTTCCACATGGAATAGGTTGATGCACACTAATGTGTAAAGGCTGTTGGCAGCTTGGTAGGTTGTTGTCTCTGGGTAGAGGAGAAAGAGCAAAAGTTGAGGAAAGGACAGACAGTGCCTTAATCAGTCTGAAAAGTCTGGACAATAGACCCGATTAGCAGTGGGTGAGGATATTAAAACTATGAAGAGAAGAGCATTCATGATTCTCTTGGAATCAGTGACCCCGCTTTCCCTGTGATGAGCCCTCGGCCTGAAAGCAGGGTATCCATTTGGTCCTCATCATATAAGATTTGGTTCATAACAAACTCCGCTGAAGACTTTCTTTCCACAGAGCCACTAGGCGGGTCCCCACTCAGGGCCATCAGCTGACTGCAAACCCCCTGCAGCATCCCTGCTCTGTGATACACAACGTCGTTGTTGTTAGAAGGTGCCACTGAGTCCCTTCCACTCAGGTGACAGCATCCAAGTGCCACTGGTGTCCCAGGCAGTAACCTGTCGGGGACAGATAGCTAGGTCTTTTCCCACGGAATCACTGAGTGGGTTCAAGGCCAACCTCTTGGTTAACAGATCAGTGCTTAACTCTGTATGCCACCAAATCAAAAACCAAACTCACTGCCATGGAGTTGATGCCAATTCATGGCAATCCTATAGGACAGGGTCGAACTGTCCCCTGTGAATTTCTAAGAAAGCCCCCTTGTTCTCCCTTGGAGAGATGGGTGGTTTCAAACTGCTGACCCTGTGGTTAGCAGCCTAGCGCATAGCCACCACATCCAGGCATCCTGCATGTGCCCCCAGGAGCTCTTGATTGAAATATATGTTAGACTTAGGACACTGCTTGCTGCTAATGGTAAATTGATGGTCAAGTTACTTCCCTGAAGGCAGTCAGTTGCCAAACAACTGTCTGAATTGGTAGGGCCCACTCCCTGCTGTTAAAGACAATGGGCTACTTCTCCCTAAAGGCTTATAGTCATGGATTTAGTGCCTGTAGGTGGAGTTTATACCCTGCTGATAATGGTTTCTATGGAGATTCAGAGAACAGGTCAAGCCAGCTCAGTGACATCCAAAGTTAGGATGTCATCCTGAATCTAGGGTCCGCCCATCTTGTCACATGTATACCCCCAATCCCTCCTCTTCCTATTATGTGTCTATCCCTAGATTGTCCCCTCTCATTGCTGTATAACCTACAGTGCAACCCCTTCCTGTGACATATGTCTTTACCTGTAATTAGTGGGCTTGCACTGCCCCCAAAGGTATATAAACCTGGGTTACCAATAAAGAGCTCTCTCTCAGGCTACTCCCTTGGCCTCTCATCAGATCCCCCTCTCCTCTCCCATCCTCGTTCCCCTGTTCCCTTTCCCCTTGTCCTCCTTCCCTTCCCTCTTTCTCCACGTGGACCACCACAGTGAGGCTGAAGTGAGCATTGCTACCATGAAATGTGCCTGACTCCATTATTCCTATCTCTCTTTTATCTCTCATGCTCTTTATGACTTTACTATAATCTTTATATACATCAACTGCACAATTGTGCTTATCGAACCCATGATTAGTGGTGGGGGCTGGCTTCTTCCCCCACAGATAGTGCCCAACATGGGGCAATATGAAAAGAATTCTTTTGAGCTATACCCTATGTAACAATTGTACGGTCCCACCGGAATGTAAAGTGAATCGGGAAAATTGTGTAAAGTGAGGATCCGGTGTGGGGATTGGCAGATAAGTAGTGGAAATAGTGAATGAGTATTTTAATGAGAACAACGGGGCAAGGTAAAAGCAAACCTGAAACGTATGGTACTATGCTCATCCACTTACTGAAAAGACAGGGTGTAAAATTAACAAAGAAAAAGATGCAATGTTTGCTAAAAGTAGTAAAAAGGTATAATCCATGGCTCCCAGAGGAAGGAACTTTTGATCTAGAGACCTGGGAGAAGGTCATTGTAAACTTAAAGGAAGCACACAGAGATGGGGAGAGTATCCCCATGGAGACGTGGTCTCTGTGGGTTCAAGAGAAAGAAGATTATCAGTCTAGTGAGAAGTCTTGTGTCTATTCAAATCTGGAAAAGCAAGCTAAAGCCTCTTTGAATGGGCATGAGTTAGGTGATGAAACTTTAGAAAAAAACTGAAGAAGCAGGGATTGATTTGTTATTTAAGGCCTCTGATTCCAAAGGAAACCTCGTGGCCAAAGCCTATATGCCCTCAGGGTATTGCAGTCTCCGAAGGTTTAAAGGTGATAAAGAACTAGAGGCAGCGAATTCCAAGACCCAAAACGAGGTTATTAAACAATCCCAGGAAGCTCCCCCTTGCTTTCAAAGGTAGGGGAAGCAAAGAAACAAAACCAGCAAAGTAGTGAGAAGCTTCTGAGATACCCAAACTTAAATCAGGTGAGAGGCAGGCAGAATGGGTACCAGGCCCATGTGAAGATTAGGAAGAGCTGAGAAAACTAAGCCTGAGTCAGGAGGGGACATCATAGTAAAAACATCTGCTCCCTTGTTGGAATTTAGTGTAAGAAAGACTAGAGATTGTAAAATAATTAAGCAAGCCAGTGCTTAAGG